TCGGTACTGCTCGAAGACTCACGACTTCAGAGCGTGCCCCCTGGCAAAAATCGACCAGGACTTCAGGAGGCCGAACAACAACAGACGTTGTTCGAACTGCACAGGCGCTCACAGCGCGAGGTATCTGGGATGCCCGTACCTCAAAGACATTAAGAGAGGGGCACCCAGTGCCGTACGCCCAGACTCGACAAAAAGGTACCGGGCACCCAGACCAACCAGCCCGAGTAGCACCAACCAGCCGAGTAGCCAGGCCGGACTCATGCGAGCGATCACAGAACTCAGAGCCGAATTGCAGCAGCAGAAAGCCATAGCCACAGCCGAGAAAGCCGAAACGCACGAGCTAATCTCCCTGATGCTGGGGGAGATTAAAGCCTTGAAAAAGGACAGAAAAGCCCACACAGCGCAACAGCTCGAAAGCAAGAAGCACGATGCAGAAACTATAAACAATATAAAGACACTGATTGCAAGCCTGGCAGTGGCACAGGCAGAGGATGAGAAGCGCAGACAAGAAGAGAGGGAGGAGAGAAGCAGAGAGATGGCCGTGCTGAAAGAGGCGAGAGAGGAAACATACAGAGAAGTCACCCGACTGACTCAGGCGAAATCAGAAGCAGAAGCGGCAGAGATGACAGCCAGAACAGAGCACGCCCGCCTACAGAGCGAACTAGAGAGAGCCGCCAAGAAACAAAATGTCAGCAAGGCCGACAAAAGTACAGAGACAAATACCGATGAGGAAAACACTATCCAGCCAGATGGAGTAACCGTATCCGAAGTTACAGAAGCGACCCCAGCCGCAGAAGAAACCACAACCTGTACAGAAAACAAAGAGACGGCAGCCGGTGAGGTAAGAAGCGAGGCCGACCCCCTAAAGAAGTTACAAGACTATAACGAACAGATTCACCCGCACAAGATCGAGCTCGAGAGGAACCGCTATTGTATCTCATTTGATCAAGAGGAGCAGGATAAAGTACAATTGCTACCCGATGAGGAAAGGAAAGCCTTCTACAAAAAAATCTGCGGCTTCTGCGAGGTGATAGAAACCGCCAATATAAACTCACAGGGAGCAAGTACAGCAGGGATCTACCAGTCATCAGTAGAAATTATCATCGTCAACGAGCGTTTCGGCCCACGATTCCTAGACGCTTTCGGAGGTGGGCCCACCTGAGTTCATGAAGCTCAGGGCTGGTTCCCTGCTGCACGAGATTACCGGATGGTGTTTTTCTTTCGGCCAGAGACAAGACGACTTGGTGGTTTCGCAGAAGGTACTGTGAGATAAGAAGTCGCCGCGGCAGCCTAATTAAAGCAGTCAGCGTGCCTGGACGACCGAGCGACAAGCTTACGATTGGTTTACCGGACACATGTTGGACTTTTGTTAGCAGGTGGCAGAGGGACACTGGCAGACAATTCGGACACGATGGACTTACAAGGGGTGAGAAACCCTTTTCCGCTAGACACCCGGACCAGCTCACCGAGGCCCGTCCTCTACGTTGTTGCGTTGCGTCCAAAGCCAGCTGGAGGCCCTTTCGGCTACCTCTCCCAGTTTTTTGAGTGTACGTTTCCGTTCATTACCGCGCAATCCTAGTTCTTTAACCACATTGTAGAGCGAAGTGGAAACGAGGCCTCTCGCTCCCACTTCGACGGCAAATACCCGTACCGTGTACGCCTCGTTTCTCCTCAGACCTGCTGCTAAATCACTGTTTTTCTCGAGCTTATACAGGTGATTTTCATCCATACGCGACTCATACGGGACGGTCAACTCTATCAGGATGAGCTGCCGTTTTTGCGCAGAGTGGAGGACTATGTCAGGTCGCAGACCGGTCTTCCGAATTAACTCGGGGTACCGTTCATGGCCTGGCAGATCAACCGCCAGTAACCAGTCCCTCGCAGAGTCTAGCACAGATGGAGCGAATGCGTTTTGGTTGACCTTACCTTTTGGAACCTGCCCAGCCTTGAGGAAACGAATGGTGACGATGCTAGAACTGGCCCTTGCATTGGCCCTCATTCTAGCCTGGTCAACAACGGCTGCTAACTCTTTTAGCACCCTGTTGTGTCGCCAGGTGTATCGGCCTTGACCTAGGGCTTTCCTGCACGCGGACAGGACGTGTTCTAGAGTCTGCTTCGATTTACACAACGGGCAAGTCGGATCGTTAGTCGCAGACCATTTAACCATGTTAACACCGGACGGTAATACATCGTACGCCGCACGAACGATAAAGCTCAGTCGCAGCGGGGTCATCCGCCAGATCTCACCCCATGTGAGTATTCTTGGCAATGCGCTCTCCAGGCTGACCCAATGGCCCTGCTGCGACTGCTGGGCTGCTTTCTGAACCCGAACCTCGTTTTCGTTGTCCCTCACCGTTTGTATTACCATGTCTCGGCGCTCTTTGGCTGAGGCCTTTGACCACCAATTGACCTTCCCGTGCCCTAGGCCTCGACGGTCGGTTTGAGTGTATCCCATTATCTCCTTCAATTTTAGTGCATTCTTGGCAGATTCAATCGCCTCGAGGACCCTCCACTTCTGGCCAGTCTTTAGAGTGGGCTGGACAGCGATGACATTTGGGTCCTTCTCAGGACTGCCATTCCCAATCCCAAAAACTGCAAGCCGCCCGCCAAGCCCACGCCGCTGACATGTTGCAACAAAGGAAACAAAACTCAGACGAAAATCATCGCCACAAAAGAAAAAAAAACATAAGCTCAGATAGTAAATAACCAGTCCTTGATAAAACAGGCCGTCAGGCGGTTAAAAAAGGACAACGCTTATCTTTTTTGTTTTCTTCCAACGAACGATTCTTCCGCGCCTATTTCTATTTGGATCACAGCCGACATGAGGCTCTGACAAATATACTACCCATTACCAAGAGGGATGCTTTCCCCAATAGACGTAATTCCACTATTGATGGACCCAAAGTGATTTTAACTTTTCTCCCTCCAAGTGAGGTTACTTCTAAAGTTTTCTTTGGCCAGACGATCTAATCCAGGCGATCTTTAGTGAGAAGCCTATACTGGTATACACATGATTTTTTTTTTTTTTTAAGGTTAGAAAAATTACACTGTTCAACCTCAAAGAAGGTTATAAATGGGGTCATTAGTTGTGTCAAGATTGTTGTTATAAAGTAAACAGACGGCTGTATTCGTTATACAACATATCTTCCTCTTTATTTTCACTTGCAAAATAGCAGGATGATATATTTTCATATATATTTTGTGATTTATTTCGATGCTTTTCAAGGATTTTTTTTTTTTTTTTGAAATTAACAAGCTTATGACTATAGTTTTTTCAAATTTTTGTCTTTACGGGGCTTAAATAGTTATCATTTGAAACTTTCAGACAGACAGACAGTTGTATGCGGGGGGGGGGGGGGGGCGGAAGGGGGGGGGGGGGGGGGGGGGGGGGGGGGGGGGGGGGGGGGGTTGCTGAAGGATTCTGGAAAGACTAGTTCTTCTATTGTTGTTTTTGTCCTCGTTGTTGGCGGCATTAATACATTTATATTTTTTTTTGTTATGCATTTGTCTTTTTTTTTTTTTACCTTACATTTTGATTGATGGAGACGGACTGGGTTCAGGTTGTCCCACGTGACTTTATGGTACCTATGTAATGTAGATTCCTTTATTCCCATTGTTTTCCAATGAGGATGTGGGGGAGTACTGTGCCACTAAGTTTGTTCTTGCTGTTCATGCACCTGTTTCCCACGACCAGTTGGGGAGATCGATCTGGACTCCCAGGTCGACACAGTCTACAAAGGGTAACCGGAAATGTCTTAGAAATAAAGGTGGTCTGCATGATGGTGACAGCCTAATCTACTGATTGTCGATCGGTCTAAAATGAAAGGGGGTGGAGGAGGGGTGGTGAGTTGCTAAACCACACTTAGTCCATTGATGGTGTGCCAGGTCTAGGGCCCATATTATTCAAGCCCTATGTACAACTCTTTGCAGTCATCTTGGAAACATTCTTCCTACCAGGAACGATAAGGTAAGATTGACGTTTCATTCGAAGTCAGAAATGCACCTGCCGCGAAGCAAGGAACCACAAGTCCATCATTACCCTCAAGGACTGGAGGATACACTTAGATGGTGCAGCCGTTACAAAAGTACAGAACAAGCACAAAAACGGTCTGAGAATAAGAGGACATCCATCTTAGGGAAACATTAAGAAGAATATTTTTACGAGAAGCAAAAAACGATGCGCTGAACTCCATGTCAGAAATCGAGAGAGCTGCATGTAACAGAGCGGAGTGGAGGAATCGAACGCAGGCCCTAGGTGACGTCAAACTGCACACGATTGATGATGTTGATGGCAATGATATGATGATGATGACATTGAATGCAAAGAAGAAGAAGAAAAAAGGTCTGAATAATAAACCCCATATGAGTCTATAAGCTTGAATGGTTGGGACGTATTGAAAGAACGTCAGATGACAGAGAAGTAAAAACTGTATACACAGGGAGATGAATGGTCGTAGACCACGAGGCAGACCAAGAAGACGATGGAAAGATAATGTCCAGACAGATCTGCAAACACTTGGTGTCACCAACTGGAAAGAAAAGGCCAACCATAGAGATAAATGAAAGCGGGTGATATCTGCAGCAATGAACCTCAAGGGCTCGGAATGCCGAAAAAGAAGAAAAACAAGATATGAGTTCATCACCCTATGATCGACGCCTCACTGGCATGAAATAGACCGTCTGCGTTCCCTATTCCCTGCCATCTGCCCCGACAAAAACTACTCGCTTGAGAATCTCTATTTTTTTTTTTTTTTCAACGACTAGGCGGCTTTAAAAAAAATGGGGCTGCGTCAGTCTTGCCAGCGTATCCTCAACAGGACGAATTTCCATCTGCGAGCGATTCGTCGCCGACAACCCGGCGTAAGCTTGCATGAATTTGACCCAGTCCAGACTAGGCTAGTAGGTCAGACAGGGCCACGCAAGGCCAGTATAAAGACCGGCCTCCAGAAAGGGGGCTGGTATAGTTTTTACGATCACCCCAAAATGAACAGTGTTTTCTGATGCTATTGTTAAAATCAACTTTTATTGACAATGTCTACAATGTGATTTCCTTTCGCTTTTGGTAAGTACAATACAGTTGTTATTCTTGACAAAACCGCAGTGACACAATGCTGTTGTCTTTCTACTCGTTAGTGCACAATTTTGTCGGTTAAGTTCGTTTTCTTCAAAATCTTCTATTTTCCCGTATATCTAATTATTACATACCACACAGACAGACAGAACATAAACGAAGAATAGAAACAGTAAAAGTTAATATCCGTGCAACACGAACAATTCTTACAAGCCGTATTATATTAGGAACACTCATTTAACGGCCATTTTGTGCCTGTTGGATTGCGTATTAAATGCACGTGATCTAGCTGCTAAATGTTGTTCCTGCTTAACCAGAATATACTGTGATAAGGAAATCTAGCATGTGCCAGTAAGACCATCTTGGCGCGTTGTGCTAGAACTGTTGTGAGTCAGCAGTGACATGGAGAACGATTACCATTACAATATTTTCAGGTATGCTGATTCGTTAATTAAGTAACCTGAATATAAAGAAGTCAAGGTGTCGTTTTGTTGCTGTTTACAGCAATTGATTTGAAATATCTATTTGAAAGAATTAAAAAAAAACAACAACCCCATTCAACCCGTCCAGGTAAGAGGGTTTGCTTAATGAGTAAGGTGGTTTGAAAAAGGGTTGAGCGGGAAGGGGAGCGGGGGGGGGGGGAGGGGTCATGTACCTTGCAGTAACATCGCCCCACCCTTTCTACCAAGAAGCTGACCGTAGCAATTTTCTATGATAAGTAAATGGTCCCTGTCCACACATAGAGAAGTCCTGGATGTATTCTTGCGCCATAATTGTATATACAAATTTCACGGCTGTATCTCTTCAGTAGACAGAGTCACAAACGTCAGCATTAGAGACAAAGTTGGAACAAGAGCGTGCATGGAACATATTTAAAGACGGAGAATGAAGTGGATTGGCCATTTAGTAAGAATGCAACCGGATCAGATTGCCTATAAGGCCTTTTACAGTAGAACATCGGGAAGAAAGGCCAGAGGAAGACCCAGGAAAAAATGGATAGATGGAGTAGCTGAATACGGCCAGAAGATCCAGAAAACTGTCACTCAAATCACGCGAGAGGCACAAAACAAATATTTTAAACCACGACACTGGGCTGCAACCCGGTAAAAGTGAAGAAGACAATAGATAGATAGATAGATCTCTTCAGTAAAAGTGCTACTGTTAGATAATTTGTGCAGAGAAATGATTATAGGACAGGCCCAGTAAGCTTTTAGAAGATTTAGTTGTTCAGATAAATGTGCTCAAGATAAGAAGAGGGAAAATTATGAGGTCGACCAAGAAATAGATGGGTGGAGGGAGTAAAGGGACACTACAGAAACGCAGTAGGACGTTAAAGAAAGCTACACAACTAGCAAAAATCACATCACTACGTATAACAACCCTACTCTGCGACGTGCTTTATAGTGTAAGCCAGTGTTTCTCAAACTTTTGTTTAGTCACGGCGCCTTTTTTTTTTAATAAAAAAATTTCCACGGCGCCCTAACCTGAGTGAGAGTATGACTATTCTTATGTAGAAGATAAAAAATAAAAAACTGGTGTATCTTCGAATATTTCGCGGCGCCCCGGTGAAGAGGTCGCCCCGATGACAGTTTGGGAATCACTGGCGTAAGCAGCAGGACAAAAGAAGAAAGAAGTATCTCTCCAGCTGCTTGTTGTCCCTAGAGTCATAAGTTAGACCAGATCGACCTTGAAGCTCAGGTCAAGTTCAATAAAATCACATTCAGTAAACGAGGAATGCGGATGTGTTAAAATTATATATTACAGAAAAGTTACTACAATTATGTGGATCAAGAAGACACATTCTACAAGAGACACATGTCGATGAAAGTTGGTCCTTAAACACAAGTCTGAAATTTGTAGGCCATATTAATCGACACATTGCAACGATACCAATCCAGATGGCTAACCCACGGCTGTCTTTAATATTCAAGAAGGCCTTGGCCAAACCAGACAAGAAATTCCTGAAGTCGGATGTGTGGGTGTGTCGGTCATCATCATCATGTAGCAGGTCCTTTGCAGAACGTCGCTCTCATCCCAGTCTGCCTGAAAGAAACTCGGTCTCTCGCCACCTCTCCCGCCTCATGAACTTTCACACTCAAGGAGTCACTTATATCCTGTGCCCATCTTTGTGTCGGTCGGCCCCTGACGCTCCTTCCTGGTACTATGCCTTCTGCTATAATTTCTTCCAATCCGTCGTGGCGCTTGATATGACCAAAATATTTCAGCTTTCGAGAAAGGATGCTGTTTATTAGCCAATCTTCCTTGATGTTCAGATCTTTTAAGATGTCAATATTTGTCCGTAGAAAAACTTAAATTTCGCAGCCATGCTGTAAGTGAGCATAACGCTCACAATAACGTCCTCATACTAACAAAGAAGAAGAAGAAAAAGAAGAAGAAGAAGAAGAAGAAGAACAAGAACAAGAAGAACAAGAACAAGAAGAACAAGAACAAGAAGAAGAAACACCACAACAGTCTAGAAACAGCAGTAAACCGAAAGCAAGCTACTTGAAAGAAAAGGCAAAGGTCGACCACAAGAATGTGACACATTTAGGGAACGCCTTGAGCATGACAGGAGGGAAAACATTGGCGAAGGATCTAGACTTTCCTTGTCAACAGGTCGTAATGGGAGTGACATGCAGCAAAGGACCTGCTACATGATGATGACAATGATAACTGATTCAAAAGCAGTAATGCAATCAACTCCCAGGGCCATAGTTTTTCTGTGGGAAACGTCAACTGTGTGCCGCTGTCCCATGTCTGTAGTGAAGTTATAATTAGCTGATTGTATTTCACTGTTTACTGCACCATCTGTTCTGTTCGCACAATCACTGCTTTGCTTTTGTTGTAAGCTCTATTGCAGGAAAGAAAAGGGATGGAGAGAGAGAGAGAGAGAGAGAGAGAGAGAGAGAGAGAGAGAGAGAGAGAGAGAGAGAGAGAGAGAGAGAGATGGCCAGTAGGGTAACAAGATACCTCGCCTTGCCAAGAAATGTGTATTTAGCAGTGTATATCCTCACATATTCTCTGGAATCACTTGTGCATTGTATCGACATATATACTGATTACATAAACTAGAACTGGACAGTCAATACTGTAGCATCTTATGAGAGGCAACAAGGTAACGATTAACAAGATCAGCGAGGGAAAAAAGCAAGCGAAAGGCACAGAGATAAACACCGTAAAGGGCTTTGCCACACGGAAGGACCATCTCCCACGCCTTTATGCGTAATTGGCATATAGGACTAGAGGGCTATATTGTATAGACCAATCGTCACTGTGTGTGGGAGGTGGTCAGCATTACGCTAGCCGCCTTTGCTTTCCAGGATATTACCTGGTGCCCATTCAAGACCGGGTCGACCCTGTTGCCAAGGTAAGTTTTCAAAATAAAACCCCCGGCATCCGATCCGTAGACGAGCGCATAGCCGCTACACCACGTCGGCTCCCTTTGCCACACGTATGGTACGGGAAAAGAGTACTGACCTCTTCTATCTCTCTGAAGGTCGTGTAGGGTGGCTAACCATGACAGCTACGCTTGTCGACACGACACATGATGACCATGATACAATAGTAGCGAGAAAAATATATGTTTGTAGAAGTACCTTATTTCGAGATGTGTGAAACTATGAAATCATTGAAGTGTGCGAAACGCTTACCTGTTAGTGGAGCCCGTAATGAAAGGAGACGAATAACATAACTATAACACATAGTTGTGGTTGGCACCTTTCCGTCTGAGATAATTAGACCTCCAGGCGAGTTATTTTGTGCCATGAGAATTACAGTCCAAGGCGGGAGAGAGTTTGACTAGCAAGACCTGATCGCACTAAGTAAGGTCTTCCACAATGAGAACACCTGATTTCATGGGCCATTGTTGCCATCATGTATGCCATCATAAATATTGAATATTCTTCTTCTCAAGACACCCACTTCCGAACACGTTTGCAGTAATTTTCCCCATCCACGATTCTTCTTCTTTGTCGCACTCACCGGCTGTAAACTCATGCAGAATGTTCTGGTTGTTTGTCCACTTCTTGACTTATGTCTTGTGCCAGAATTTGAGTTTTGCGCGCATGTCCGTTTTACAGAATAGACATCTACCCCCACCCTCGCCCAACAGTGCGATTAAGTCAGACATGTAAAACGGATGGGCACGCAACACTCAGATTCTGGAACAAGACTTAAGTCCAGAGGTGGACGAACAACCAGAACTTTTCCCCAGGGTTTACAGCCAGTGAACGCGAAGAAGCAGAAGAAAAAGCGGTTAATTTTGGCTTCGTTGAAATCGGATGTGTTAGCTGTAACGTTTTACCGGCCCCTACGCAAATTTTTTTTGGGAGTGTGATGTTGAGGACAAAGGCAACGCTTGGCGATCAGAGGACAAGCAACCCAAAGTTAAGGACCTTCCAAGACCTGACTTAATCAAATTTTTTCCCCTTTCAAGCCAATGAATGTGAATTATTACTAGCGGATTTATCCCTTTTGAAACCTAGCATGTACTGACCCACTGACCTCGTGACCCAAATTCACAGCCGCTTCCTCCTTGACCCCCAAACGTCGGATGTTGCGCTATTTCTGGTCCGGCGAATCCTAATGTGTGTAGGGGGGAGGTGGGTGCGTGCCTGTCCGCGCTCGTTTGTGCCACGTTAACAAGACCTCGAGGGAATGTAATCAGGATTTTTTTTGTGGGGGGGGGGGGGGGGGGGGGGGGGGGGGGGGGGGGGGGGGGGGGGGGGGGGGGTAAACTGCAGGTAGTACCGGCACCTTACTTAAAGCATTAATATTTCCCTAGCCCTAACGTAACAGACACTTTGAAGTTAGTGCAGGCACTATTGAAGACACTTCTTCGTGAGTACCGGTAATTAACCCCCCCCCCCCCCCAATCCTCCCCAAAGGTATAGGATTAGGTTTAGACAACGGATCAACATCATGGCACAAGGGGTAACCCATAAGTGCTCCGTTCTACTTCTGACTCAGGCCTGAGTCCAAAGAATCTAACC